TGTGAACATCAATTTTCTTGTCTTTTTTCTTTTTTTTTTTTTTGAAAACAAGATTTAAAACTCGTTCTGTAAAGTTGCCTAAATTAACTTATTATCAAAATTGAAACACTTCTAGATTTTTTTTTTTGGTATATTTTTTTGGAATTTTATTATTCTAATTGACTGTAAGTGGGTTGAAAATTACTATAGTAACTAATTTAATATCAATTGCAAATTTCCACCCAAAAAAAATATACCTACTGCAAATTTTCTCTTCATACCTTTTTTTAAACCACATAAAATGTAGAAATTTTTTTTTGCGTTAAATAATTTTAGAGAATGAGTAATGAATGTGGATGAAAAAAAAAATATGCATACTTTTTATTCTATCCCATTAACACACTTTTTCATACAATTTGAGTATTATTCACAATTACTTCGGCAATTTTACTTACATCACTTTGATCATTTGAAGATATCTTCAATCTGCAAAAATCAAATTTACTTTGTATCTTTTAATTTTTACAAAATTTTTTTTTCCCAAAATTACTTTCCTTTTAATTTAGTATTTTGATTTGATAAATAATTGGTAATTATTATTTAATAATTCATAGTTTAGCTTAAGATATTGGTAAGAATATTACGATTTGAGCAAAATATGAAAAAAAAAATGCCGTTTTTTTTTCTTGTTTTAATTAATGTAATAATGCTTAAGTAAGAATTTATGCGTAAAAGTAAAAAATAATAATGAGATAGGAAGAAAGGTGGGATAATTGAACTCATAATATAAATCTATTTGTTCTAGGACAGTATTAAATCAATTGAAAAAAATTAAATTTGTTTATTTTTTTAAATCTGTCCTTGCCCTGTTACTGAAGGTTCATTTTAGCTGAAGAAATTTTCATCATTTTCGTGTGTTATCCTTTCATGTTATCTTCTTCATTTTTAAAATAAACATTCGCTTTGTCTTATTAAAAAAAAAAAAATAACCAACGAAAAAGAGATGAATTTTTTTTTTCAAAAAGTAAATTTTTCCTAAAAATAATGTCAGAATAAAAAAGATTCGGATTAGTATTAGTAAAATATTAATTAATGTTAGTGTGCATAAAATAATAATATTCGTATCGTACGAATTAATTATCAGAATTGTTTCTTAAATTAATTAAAAACTTGGGCAGTTTTATTTTCCTCTTAAATTATCATACTGCTTTTAACTATTTTTCTTTTAAATTATTATACTATTTTTAATCAATTCACTATTTTTCTCCTATTTTTTCCGTTCAAATTTCTTCAATACTTTAATTTTTTTTTTTGTCTCGTTTTGTATTAATTCATTTATATTTAAATCCATTTTTTCATCTTTTATTCATTCTTGGTTTTTTTTTTCTTTCGTTTATTTTTCAATTTTGTCAGCATTTGAAATTGTTATTTCATGCAAATTTGCCCTGCAATTATAATTATTCCAATTTAATGCCGTTACTTTTTTATTCCCCTCCTGTTCACAATTTACAAAAATATTTTAGAGAATTCTAGAAAGGATATTTTCTGGAAGCGAGGAAATGTATGATGATAAATTGGAAATGTTATCATCTTTTATTCGAATTTATTTCAGTTACATCTTTTCTTTCCACCTGTTGCATAAATTTCCAAATGTTTCGTTATGTGAAACTCTCGAAAATGAATTTTTCCAGAATTAAAGGAAATATATGATTAATTGGAAATTTCATCATTCCTTTTTCTATGAAAAAATTGAAAATGAAACAATAATGAGAACGACTTACGAGAAGAAGGGACATAATCGTATCGAAGGATGGTTGAAAGCTTATGGTATACTTTTCTTTTTTTTTACAATTACTTATTATTTGTCTAAAATATTTCCAATTACTGATATTGTAAACATTATTTTAGTGTAAATTAAAAATAGTACATTGATAATATCATGATAAATTTGGGTATTTTTAAATTTCAAAACATATGGTAAAATAATATTTTATCCCTTAATTTGGGATATATTTATATTGAATGTATTTGTAAATGTAAAATAAGTAAATTATACTAAATTTATTTGCAAAATGCTGCATTTTTTAAACTATCATTCAATGATTTACTTCATAACTGTTTTTTTTTTTAAACCTTTTAAAAAGTAAAAATTTTTTTGCTTTAAAAAATACAGTTGTAAAAGAAAAAATTTAAGGCTTATTTGAAACGTAGAAAAATTTCAAGCTTATTTGTAAGAAGTGATAAGGCAAACGCAATTCACGTTCTTTTTTCGTTAATTTTCGTGATTTGCGTTTATTAAAATAAATAAATTCATTCATTTTTATGAATGTATCATTCGTTTATTAAAAGATAAATATTTGAAGTAATAATTTTAAAAGAAAAAAAAGGATGGAAAATAGTTTGAAAATGAAAATGTAGTTATATTTAAACGATAAAAATGAAAAATTGATATGACTTATTGAAAAAATAAATTCCGGTAATTTGGAAATTTTTTATACATCAATCAGTTTATGAAAATTAAAAATTAATGCCATTTGATTATTTAATCTTTCATCTTAAAATTTTGACAGATTCATCATATTCTTTTCTTTTCTATTTTGACAATTATCAACAAACTTTCCCAGTGTTAATAATGATAACTGTTTGCATTGATAAATGATGACTGCGATGATAATAACGATGTTGATGGTAGAAATAATATTTATACTGAAGGTCAGCATCTTTGAATGTTGTAATTTATGATAATTATAATATTCAGATGAGTTGACCTTCGTGAGTTCATAAGAAAAAAAAAAACGAAATAAATTTTAAATAATTTTGCAAACATAAAATAAGGGAAAGATACGAATGAAATACATTTATAAAAATATACTCACATTTCTATTTTGATTCCATAATATATCTATAATTAGTGCAGTACTCTTTTTTAATTATCTTAATTTGTTTATTTAAATAGTGCATAATAAATACAAAATTTGACATATGTATATTTTATGATAAGCATTGGAATCATTTTTGAATATAAAAGTGTAATTTCAGGATGCAAATCATGTATTTGATTTTAAATTATATGGCCAATTTGTGGAAGTCAAATTTTACATACAATTATGTCGTGTAAATTAAAGGATGTATTTGAAATTTTAATTAATTAATTTATTTATCATCATTAGAGAACATTTTTTCCTTTTTCTGATCGTTAAAATTAAAATCTTGTCAAAATTTTGAAGAAATTTTGAAAATTCAATAAATTATTTTTATTTTATTCGACCGGTTTATCAATCTTACATCGTTATCAATTTGATAATTGTAGAAGAGCGATAGTGAGCTGGATTACAATGTTTATTGAGGAGTGAACATTAGTTGGCATCTTCTATCTGTTTTCATTTTTTATCGACTTTGTAAAATATTTTAGAATGAGTATTTTGTGAATATTTTGGAAGCTTAAATTTACAGTACTTAAAAAACTTGCAGTATTTAAAGAAAAAGTCTTCTAATTATGAAGATCGAAATTTTTCCGAATTTGAACGAAATTTTTTTTAGTTCAATTTTGGTTTTGCTGATTTGAGAAAATGTAAAACAAAAGTTTGAAAATTGGATAAGGAAGAAAAAGATGAATAAAGTTTATGAAAAAAAAATGTGATAAGACAGTAAAATAGTTTAGTATCGGCTAAAATATCACATCATAATTATTGATAATTTTTTCTTTCTTAGTACGACAATTAGTGAAGAAAAAGGATTGACAAAAATATCACCAACTTTTTTATCAGCTTTAGCTAATCCCATTATCCTTACTATTAAGGCAAATATAATTATAGTTATTATCACTCCAATTATGCATCTAATGTCGATGATGATAACGATAGTGATGATGGTGTTAGTAGTAGCAACGACAACAGATAATGGCAGTAGTAATCATAATGATAAAAATGATGATTATGATGACAGTTGATCTGATAATGACATTTGCGATGTTAATATTGAAGACAATAGTTATGATGATAGTGATGGCAGATAATGATCATGATGATGAAAATAGTGATGGTGGTAGTAATATTGATAATGCTAATGTTAATGACAATAGTGAGGATGACCATGATGGCAGTCATTTTGATGATGATGATGATGATGATGATAATGCTAGAAATGGTGACAGTAATAGCAATAATGGGATGCCGATGATAAAGATAGTGGAAGCGTTAATGGTGATGATTGAAGATGATAATGATAATGAAAGTGTCAATGATGACGAGATGTATATGTGGTAATAATGACGATGATGATGATGATGATGATGATGATGATGATGGCAGTGACAATGACGATGATTCCAATAATTACAATGATGAAGGTCGGCTCATTTCAAATATCGTAGTAACAATGACGAATACTACGTTCTCTCTGATATGATTTTCGTAATTTCTCAATTTTCTCTCCTATTTTCATCCATAATTATTAATGTGAGCAAGCAGTTATTTTTCCAACAATTTGTTGTGGAATATTTTTGTAAAAAAAAGGTTTAGTTCTTGCTGTAATCTATAATTAAAATTAACATTTTGTAAATTCATTATTTGATTATCACGTTATCAATTAATAACATTATCCTGTTATTCAAATCTTTTCGTTATTCCCATTAACAGTTTTATCCTCATTTTTTCTTTCCTGTGCTCAGATTATTTAAACGTTAAGATATTAAAGTATATGAAACATAAAATAATCAAAGCAGTTGTAATCATCATTGTCGTAACAAGCTATTATTGCTTGACGTGATGATGTTACGAAAGTAATATACTACTGTATGACGTGCTAATACTTAGGGCACTATAAAAGCTCCATGACGTATAATTAAGTGTTGAAATGAGTGAAACGTAATTATAACATGTAAAGAAAAATTAATTTTTTTTCTTTATATATAAAATAAAGTTCATGAAGTGATATATTTGATAGTAGCTGATAATATGATATATTTTTTAATAATTAGAAATGGAAGATTTTGAATATTTTTAGCAAAATTAAATAGATTTGATTAACTCGTTTCGAAAATTACATTCAAGACTAAACCATTTTTTTTTTTCAAATGAAGAAGCAATTTTCTGCTAATTTTATTATTAATGCTGCTCGTGTGCTTATTTCGCTTCTTATTACGAATTATTTTTTTTGGAAATTGTAATATATTCCAATATCACTCACTATTTTATGTATGATAATGTTAAGCTATCTTTATAACTGTTATTTATTGCAAACTATTCAAATATCAACAAGACTGGAAGGTCAATCACTTTTAATTATTGTAGATCAATTAAAATCGATTAAAGTGAATTGAAAAAAAAATTAGTCAAAACTTTATTTAAATGATAAAAATAAAAATGTTTTCATCATCGTCGATCATTAGCGTTTCTATTCGTCTTATGAGAATTTTGAAAAAAAAAAAAGGAGATATTTTAAAATAGCATATTATTAAAATGCTACAAAATTGTGAGTATTAATAATAAAATAGAGCATTACTTTGTATAGCACATTAATGTATGTTAAAAATCATAAATATTTATTGAATGATTTTAATTATACTGTACAA